AATCTTAATGACTGGGAGGTTAGTGAATATGAGGCGCTCCCACATTTGCTTTCAATTGTCAATCTTAACAGATACAACGATCAACTTTTGTGGAAACTACAGGAGAAAGGGGATTTCACAATGAAGTCCTACAACAATCACTTCATAAGAAACATAGTTACGAAACAAATGATTTTGTTCAAGCAGATACGGAAGGTAAATGCTCCTCTAAGAATTTTTTTTTTTTGGTGCATGGGAGGTGGGACAAGAGTGTATATAAACTATTGACAAACTGATGAGAAAAGAAAGAATTATGGTGAACAACTGCTATCTATGGAAGAAAGAAGCTGAATACTGTAATCATATTCGATTGTGGTGTCTACCTATGCATAAATAATGTATTATGGTTTATGGGTTACTGGGATTATTATATCAATTATTGTCGGTTCGGTTAGAGATGAGATTTCGAATTGGAAGGGAATTAAAAAAGGGAGACAAATTGTGGGTCTCATTTTTCTTACTATTTTTTTGTTGGTTTAAAAAGAAAGAAACGATAGAACTTTTGAAGAGGTGGAAGAGGAGCTTGGTAAAATTAGGAAGAGATGGCTCAAATATTTTGGGAATTTTATAGATATACTTACTAATATGTAAAAAATTTTGTACATGGGTGCCCCTTGCTAAGTTTGAATTAATGATCATACTATAGTTTTTCTTTCAAAAAAAATATATGAATGAACTTTATTTCTATATTTCAAGTTAGGAACTTGCTAGATTACCTTCGAAAGTATTAATTTTTTTTTGAAAAAAAAATAATAATTTTATATCGCACATTTGATGTTGTTACACTTAAAATATTTATATAATTTCTAACTTATTAATAAAAAAAAAATTTATTTTACTAAAATTTTAATTATATGAAATATTATTCTCGTAAAATTTTAATTAAATTATTTTAACTAATTAAATAATAAACTAATAAAATAATTAAATAATAAAATATGCTACTCAACAAAAAACATTGCCAATAATATAGATTATTGCCATTAAAATAAGGACAAACCACAAAGTGGATGAATAGAAAAAACAAACAATTAAATTACTTACCTCACCAGGAGTTTCAAGAAGTGGCTGATTTTCAGTTGAACCAGTAATATGCTCTGTAACATAAGTTCCTAGAAATTTGTACCTGTGTGAAAAAAAATCTTTATAGAATTCATAATTAATTAGAAGATTAAATACACATATCCGTACACCGAGAGCAAAAAGCATATCATTAAATTGAAATATAGATATAGTCTATTTTTTCTTTTACTTCATTAAGTGGAACTTCTTATCCTCCATTGACGTAATTCTTCAGTCTCCCAAATAATTTTCTTTTTCATTCAAAATAAAACAAGTAGTTATATCTAGAAGTGCTAGTTTCTACACTTATTCTTGATATCTAAAATACAACAGAAGAAAAGCCTTATCAAACCAGAATCACTGGAACCAGTCTAGAAGAACATCATGAAAATCTAAATATCATAAAAATATTATGTTGACCATCCAATAAATTAGCATAGAAAGGAAGAAAACCTTCGCTCAAACACAACAAGTGTGGCAGATCCATCACACTCCAGAGAATGCTCAAAGTCAGGAGGTAGATAAGCATATGAATCCATCTGCAATACATCTAAATGTCTTAAGCTCTTTAGAACAAAGTATTATGCTTATACATTTCAGTTTGCAAACTGAGTAGAAATGACTCTTTTAAGTATTTAGTTTTGCAACATAAACGCATATGGCTTGTGTTAATATCAAATGCTACATAG